TTGAAGAAACATACATAAGATTATATACTCCGCCTTTTCAAACAAAAAAATTTTTTAAAAAAAAGGTAAATATCTTTTTTATCACTTGAGAAAAAGAATCCATTTTTAGTTTTTTTATGAAAATATCTTTCTTTTTATCTTTAAAATTTAAAATTCAATCCTTTTATCCATCAATTAAATTTTAATTAATATAAAAAATTAACTAATGAAAAAATTTATTTTTTTACTTAAATTACGTAAATAAATTCATTTGGTAAAATTTTTTGTGTAATATATGCTTAAAAATTATTTAATGACATTTATTACCATCATAATTATTTTAAAAGTTATTTTTTTGAATATGAGTACTTTCTTTAATTACTTATTGGCCTCCATCTTTTTTTCCCTGTCTTATCCTGCCCTTCCTCCGACCTTTTTTTTCACCTTTGCAAATCAAAGATGGGTTCTCGCGAAGCTAGGCGTTGGAATCCAAAGGCATGAAACAGTAGCAGATTTCCAGAAATGACAAAAATATGCTTAAAATGTAAAAATGATCGGATCATATTCGATGACATGAAATTAATCGCCGACCAATACAACAGAAGAGTACTAACTCGTAAAGAAGAGATTCAAGTTCAAGTATAACAAATAAACATTTTGATTATTTTCGAAGAAAAGTTAAATTAGATTCAAGATTAGAACACTTTCATTGCAGATTCAAAATTGAGAACACCCAAACCAGACATCAAATCAAGAACAACCAAGGTTGGAAAATTAATTCTTCCAGATTTTAACTAACTCGATTGAAAAACAGAGATTCAACTTCATTTGCAAAACAATCTGAAATTCAACAATAATAACAATGGATGATGAAATCGAAACAAGACATATCCCGGCGATCAAGAAAAAAGAAAACTGGGTTCCTCGAGGAACCTAGAAACTGGGTTTCTGGGTTCCCTGTGGAACCCAGATCTAGGTTACACGAGGAACCCAGAAACTGGGTTCTTCGTGGAACCAGATCGTGGAACCCAGTAATTTGAAGAGAATGGCAAACAAAGGATGAGGATGAGGAGGAGGAGAATGAGGAAATGAGAGAAGCAACGAAGAAGATAGGAGTTTAAAATTAGTTTCAGTTACATTCATTCAATTTATTAATTAAAAAATAAAATTTTTAATATACATACATTAAAATAATTAATATTCCATTATTAATTTTTTTTTTAAGCAATTACCTATCAGCAAGGTGAGCTTTGTCGGTGAAAATATTTTCACCGACAAGGCTCATCTTGCTAATGTCTAATTAGTAAGGTTAAATAACTAATTTGATCCTTGAACTTTTAATTTTGAACCAAGTTCATCCTTAAACTTACTAAATTATTGAATTTGTCCTTAAACTTTATTTTGTTTGGTTGTCAACTTGTTAATTTTCCTTAAAATTTAAATTTAATTAACATTGTAAAATGATAATTATTTAATTATATATGTTATAACTAATTGATATTATTTAATTATTTAATTAATTACATAGATGACCAAGTTTGATTGTATATAGAACAATTTTATTAGATAATCATAAGAAAACAAGAGAAATTAGAAAAAAAATTGAAGAACATAAGTAAGGCAATGATATTACGGTTCTTGAATGGATCGTAATTTTTGAATGGCAGCATCCCAATATTTTTTTTCAATTGTAAGACGCCTACCATTACCAAAAATCTTTATAATTTTTTCTGAGGACTCAACAGGGGTTTTGGGTGGATTTGACAGAAATGGTGATTGATAACGATTCGAGCAAATTTTTGCAATATGACCCTCACGGTTACACAGTTGACAAGTTACAGCATATCGGTGCGGGCAAACTGTAGCTAAATGTCCAAGAGTATCACATATTTGACAAATAGAGTAATCTCCAATATTAGGCAATGGAATGTGTTGGTCAGTTGATACATTATTTTTTGGCTTTTTCAACTTCCTCTTGGGAGAACTCTGAGATGGGCAATTCCATAATGATTTAGGAGTATCCTCAATGATTCCTGTGTAAAATAACATAAAGTTAAGTAATATGATAGCAAATAGGGTGCACGAACGGGAAATGAGAAATAAGGGAAGGAAAAAAAAAATTATACCATCATATTGGCTGTCAAAATATTCTTGACTTTCCAATTGGTTGTCAAAATAATCTTGACCTTCCAATTGGTTGTCAAAATATTCTTGACTTTCCAATTGGCTATCAAAAGATTGTTGATTCTCCATTAAGCAATAGAAAAAAGAGTTTTGAAAATTATAAAAGCTATTACTTTTAAATTATGATATAAAAATAATTACGTGGGAATGAAAAAAAGTGAATTGCAAAAATAAAAGAAAAAGAGCAAGAAATTAAGGTGTGTGTGCATAATGGTTGGGGAAGGTGTATATATAATGGCTTTGGCCAACCATCGGTCAAAGAGGTTAATATCAGCAACATATGCCTTGTTGCTGATATTTGGTTGGTAGAAAGATAGGAATAATAGCAACATGGTATATGTTGCTAATACTTAAGGTAATTGGAAAGGTTTTCAGCAACATAACTCTTGTTGCTGAAATTTCACTTTCAGCAACAAGAAACATGTTGCTGAAAGTGGAGCTCAATTATATGGGAAAGGGTTCACCGGAAATGGGGAAGGATTCATTGGAAAATATCAGCAAGGTGGAGTATGTTGCTGAAAGTTACTTTCAGCAAGAAGAAGTATATTGCTGAAAGTGGAGCTCAATTACATGGTAAAGGGTTCACCGGAAATAGGGGAAGGATTCATTGGAAAATATCAGCAAGATGGAGTATGTTGCTGAAAGTGGAGCTCAATTACATGGTAAAGGGTTCATCGGAAATGGGGAAGGATTCATTGGAAAATATCAGCAAGATGGAATATGTTGCTGAAAGTAACAGCAAGAAGAAGTATATTGCTAAAAGTGGAGCAGCTTTTCAAAGGGTGGAGTATCCTGTACAACTTTCAGCAACATAAGACTTGTTGCTGATACATATTTTCAGCAACAAAGAATCCCATGTTGCTGATATATTGTTGCTAAAAATCAAAGTTTTAGTAGTGCTCTCTGTGAGTTCCTCCTTGATCTTATTTAAATTTGTCTTGATATTATAGAGGGCAGGTAGATCTGGAAGGAAATTGCATGAATATGACAGCATCCGGCATTCGGCAAACAGATTGTTGAGGCGGTAAAGCTTTTCCCTGATGGCCGCATTGTTCTCCGGCGATGGTGAGGATGGTATGACTTGTTCAATAAAACCCTTCAGTTTAGAAAAATGGTTGTGCAAAAGGACAGTCTGATAATCGGTAAGATTCTTGCTGAATGTATCCAGCAGATATCGCTCCATCTCCATACCCAAATTCAAAGGGAAACCTTCAAACTTTCAGAAGCACTACGGTTCTGTACAATATTGCCCACGTTGATTTTATTATTAAATAGGTGAATCTCTATAGTCCTCACTTCACTTCGTAGGGTTCTAAAGTGCCTTGGGAATTCCAATTCCACCTCGAGCAGGAAGAAAAAGATTTATTTAATTTGAATCGATGACCTTATATAGCAGTTTTGAGGTTTGTTTC